ATGACCTAATATTTCCTATTAGTGGAAATGATCTGAAACCATGATGTAATGTGTGTGTAAAAACTGTTGTCAGCATTGCCAGTGGAGGGCAGTAGAGCCTCATTTTTGTACCAAGTTTACTGTGATGCATCAGCCCATAGTGTCACTGGTGTTTAAATACATTGGAATCTACTATGTTTTATAAATATTACTTTAAAAAAAAACAGAGGAACCTGAAGAAAACCTGTGTCCTCAGAAGACCTAAAAGTGAATTAGAGAGACTACTTTCAAAAGAAACACGCCTCCCAATGCACGGCACAACTGTGAGTGAATAATGGAGAAATAAAAAGATCCCGAGGGGCCTGCAGACTCGAAAAGCTCCAACTATTGGGAAATTAGACTAAAACTTGCAAGGTTTTCCTTAATTAAAACATAACGCCAAGAGCTATGCAAAATATTAGAATAAAAAAGTTTATTTTTATTTTTATTAATCTGCACAAAATTAACAAAGAAATAGAGAAAAAGAAAAAAACATTGAAGGTAATGCTAACTAGCCTTCTTATATATAATTCCCAGAAGTCAAAGTCATAAATTATTGTAGACTCCTGTGATATGTCTTTGTTTACTATTTCATAAAAATATGTCATAACAGAAATAGTTATTTAAAAACAATATTATATTATATATCAACTTGCCTGACTTCATGGTTGCACCTGACAAGAAGTTTCAAACATATTTTTAATGTCCAGTCAAGGTTTGTCTTCATTGCGCTTCCACTAGGGGACAGTGCTGTTCTGTGATTTGTCAGGAGCAGCGCTTAAACCATATGGACACATAGGGCCCTGTAGCATCTTTGTCACTTTTAAATGCGTGGTTGTATTCCATGGCAGTGTCATGTGTGTCGCTACAAACACAGCACTAGATTAGGAGGGGGTGGGGGCGGGGGGGGCACAGCTGGTTCATCATGACACTCTGAGCCTGAGGGGTGTGTTTCTCCCTGACTGACAGACAGCTGCCATTCTCCTGCACAGTATGTCCAACTGATAAAGTGAAATCTGCTTTCTGCTGTCCTTAATGGCTGCTGATGAATGGTTCATGCTGGGCCTCGTCTGACCCGTGATTAATCCTTTTACCGTGGCAGTGATTTATTTTCCCACTCCTCCTGTGCTGAGTGAGCAAAAGGCGACTTAATGGTTTTTAAATCTGGCCAGGTGGAGTGGTCTGCACCCTAAAAGGCTACTGAAGAGTCCATCCAGCAACGGATTGTGTTATTTATCCTTTGACCTTTCCACTGAAAGTTGAGTGAGCACATATGCCCTTTTTTTTCATACTGATGTTCCTTGTAGTTGTATGCTGAATATTAACACTTGGGTTCTGGCCAGAAAAATTAGTCTTCAACGGTTTGTGCCGCAACTGAGTAACTCCAGTGAAGCAGCTGCCAGAGAGCTTTCTCAACAGTAGCTGATGAGAGAGGAGAGTGTTTCTCATTCAGTTTCAGTGCTGTCAGAGGACTGAGATCCAGATGATCAAAGCCACAAGCAGATAATGATAAACAAGCTGGATGGAGATGCTCAGCGTTTGGGTGTTTAAGAGAGTAATGACGAAAGACAAGCTTTCAGAAATGAACTGCACATTTCCAAACGAGAGAAAGAAAAGACACTTAACAGTAAACAGTGCCCAATTAACTGCACCATCCAACCATCTGCTCCACAGATTTATTCTCAGGCAGGGTTGAGAAGGCCACTGTTCACTGAATCTGTTTATCATACATGTGCCTGGTTATTAACAGGTGAGATGCTTCATGTCTCTCAGTAATTGGATCCCAGTGTATGTGCGCGAGCATGAGACAAAGAGTGTGTGTGTCTCTAGGCAGTCAGCACTGTTTTGCATTCACAAAGTTGTACAGTCGTGACTCATCGACCCTGACTGACAGGTCAGAGGGCAAGTGCAAGTCTGAGACAAACATGTATATAAGCAAGCACTATTTAAAGCCATAATTGATGAATAAATGAATGAATTAATGGATGCATGAAAAGAGGGAGGGCAAACACAGCAAGGATAAAACAGCAGAAGAAAAAAAGAAAGAGAGAGCGAGAAAGAGAAACAAGCATCCACAAGAGCCGTGCAGCAGTTGTTGGTTATGGCCAGAGAAGGATATCTGGGAGCACTTTAGGGATTTGAGGAGAAGACCACTGACATAAATCACTTTTTGTGCCACTTAAATCAAAGCAGCTTGTTATGTGTGTGTGTGTGTGCGTGTGTGTGCGTGTGTGTGAATGTATAAACACAGATATAAAAACACACGGGGAAAAAGTGATCTTGTAGCATTTACGTATGCTAGGTAATTACATTATAGCAGAACAATTATTTCTAAAATTGTGAATTGTTTTTTTTTTTATGTTTCAACTTCCAAAAGAGTTGCGTCACAAAAAGCACAGAAAAAGTAAATGAATCATGTTGTGCCCAATTGGGTATAGACGTCTGCATTAGACCAAATTCACCCAAACCCAAACACGTGGGCGGCTGTGGCTCAGGCGCTAAAGCTTCACATCAGAGAGGCGGTGGTTCGATTCCCGGCTCCTCCAGTTAAAACTCAATGGATGAAAGTGGCTTCCATTTTAAAGCTCTTTGAGTGGCCAATAAGACTAGAAAAGTGCTTCATAAGTTCAGTCCCTTTACCATTTACACCAGCACAGGTTAATACAGTTTCAAGTTATATATCGGTTCCGTTATTCAAAAGTCTTATTACACAGATTGTATCCTTAAGCTTTTCAATTTCATCAACTGCAAAGACTAATGAAAGAACCTTGTTATACTGACTTCGGGATTGCTCAATGTTAGATTTATTCTGGTCACATATTATCCAATTTCCAATGTGTATAAACAAACTATCCTTCCCCTCAGAGTCTTGGCTATTTTTGTGTGCATGCATGCTCTGAGGACAGGAACACTGCTAGCCAAAAAAACTGATTCTTAAACAAACATTTCCATCTTGTTTCCAAACATGGTAACAAGAACATGATTTAAGTCGTACATTTGGAAAAACTTTGTTAAGACAAGATAAATGAGGGTTGACTTTAAGTTTTTTGATAACTTTCTTCTCCTAAGTATTTCCTATTTCTTGTTAGGCTATTGTTGCTTTGATGCAACACTTGTATTAGATGTGTGCCTGTGTTTCAGTGTGATGACCTGACACTATATTAAAAACTCCAAATAATAAAAACAGACACATTACAGAAATCAGGACCAATGTTTCATCTCAATTAGTTTATTCTAAAAAGACAGCTTTCATCATGTTCCACACCATGTTTCTTCATATCTGTAAAGCAAATAAATATTTTTCATTTTCCGTCTGTTTGCATTTCAAACACTTCATCAATCATCAAGTAAACCAAAAGTGTCTATATTTACAGTACATCGGGTAATCCAAAAAAATAATACATATAGTGTTTTAGCCACTTTAACAGTCAGTTACTTACGTTACCCAAAGATTCCTTTGCCAAGGACAGATGACAGGATGTTGGAAGGGGAAGTTTGGTTTTTTGGAAGTTTATTTGTGTATGTACGTATTTATTTATTCATGTGACTTAAACACCATCATCATACATAGCTGTCATGAGTGACATCAAAGGTGCTGGATTCAGTCACGCTGGGGAATCTTGCCTCTGGGTATAGCTGTCAGAGTGTCTTGATTTCCGAGCATTTGAAATCACAGTGTCACATCAGGGGACGGAAACTGGGTAGAATACAACAACAGAGGCCTGTCCCTTCTCCTTATATCTGTGTGTGAGAGATGACATACAGTATACAGTATAGCACACACAAAGGACAGAAGCTATGAGGTTGGCCAATGCTACCACTGTAACACGAAGAAAAGGTATATTTCCCTCAGCAGACACTGACACTGTGCATCTCAACTCTGTAAAAAAACAAAACAAAGTTTGCTTAATATTTATCCCACACTGTGCCATTCCTTTTCACCTATTAAGCTTTAAGTTATTGCTTTATCAAGCAGAGACAGTCAGTGATTATCACATTAACTCTGTCCTCTTCATTAATAACAGACTATGGTACTGTTACAATATATACAGATTAAATTGTATGTTATTCTACAATGCTCATACTGTATATATGTATATATACACAGTTGCTCATAAAGTTGGAATAAAATATTTTTTACCTCTTTCCAGGAAATGATTGTGACAATATGATTTATTTCATTTCACCTGGGTAATTGGGACACATAATGTAATCATTGCACCTGGTCAAAAGTGATTACTGATGCATTTAAATAGGAATAAAAAGAGGATTGTGTCTAAAAACAAAATCATTCCATCTTTATGGGCAACAGTGTATATATATATATATATATATATATATATATATATTTCTAAATTTCTCACTGACATACTGCAGATCAGTCGCAATACAAAAAAATTTCTTGTGGGAATGACATTCAGCTTTAAGTGTTACTGTTGATCCTCCAAACGTACAACTCCAAAACTCAAAAGTCCTGAGAAGAAAATGCACTGTGACCTGCCGCTGAGGAATTGATTATATTGGCATCACTCGAATGCATTTAAGAGCGGCTCTCATTCCCTCTGAACAGGCTCAGCGTTGTAGCTTCAAAGGGAGGCGGAGATCGACTTCAGATCCAGCGGCCGAATGGTGGTGCTGCGTGTAAATCTGTGTTTTTACGCCATAATTCAAGCACTCATCTACATGTTTCAGCAACACTGGCTTCAGACATTGAGGTGATTTCAAAACCGTAACGAGGAATTATTCATGATGAGAGAGGAAAAAGCTGTGAATCCTGTTTGTGCACATGTGAAGCTTGAGTCAAAAAATAAACCTGTGTGTTTGTATGTGTGTGTGTTTGTGTGTGTGTGTGTGTGTGTGTGTGTGTGTGTTCACCAATCTTGTGATGAAACTGCCCGATCAGTCCAAGTCCGAATGAGGCAGGAAACCAAAAAGGAGATTTGCCGTGATCAAGCATATACCAGTGACAGGCCTACATCATCACTAGGGCTGTGAACCTTACATCTTATCACTATGTTACAGTGGGTATCCCTGCCTTGAGTGGGGCTTTTGTCTCTGTGTCAGTGTCTGTAAAACACATTGGCCGTGTTGAATGAGAATCCTCCAGACTAGTTGGCATGTCGTCTATAGGCTTGTCCTCTCCCCTTTCACTCATTGATTCTCCGCTCACATATCTGAAGACAGCAGCTCTTCCATGGCTCCTAGAGACGTATTGTGACAGGGGATGAGGGAAAGGGCTGCCAAACGGATCCAGGGATGAGCTAAGAGAAGTTTCCAAAGGAGGCTGTGGAGAGAGGGGACAGAAGGGGAGGGAGGAGGGTGGTGGTGGACATAATTAGGATTCACAGGAGAGTTTAAAGTGCAGCAATAGTTTGTTCTCACATCATGCTCCTTTGTAACCCCGCCGCATGGTTAAAAATACATTCCTCTCTCTAATGAAGTTGTTTGTCCTCTGTGCTGATGAGTCTCTGTTGCATTGAAAACACACCGGTCTCATAAGAGCCTTTACAAAGCTCAAGTATTGGGCTCAGGACCCTGCTGACTCTGTATGAGACACCTTGCTCCCACCCAGACTCTACTGACTTATCAAGTAACCAGTGTGGCTGACCTGTAACATGCTGCACTCAATCACAGAGAAAACAACCTATGACAACCTGTGACAACCAATGAAACTCTGGCAGAATGAAAAAGTTACAGAATAATGGCAGTGCATGAAAATTACTGCTGTGTCACTAATGCAGGCAGTGAAAAAGACACTAAAATAATGATATACAAGCTCTGATTAATAAGGTGAGTTTTCCCAGTGTCATTATCTCTTTCCCTCTCTCTTGAAACAACAGATGTGACCAGGTGGTTTCCCTGACACCTCGCCAGTTCACTCCGCCCTGAGAGGCAGACTTTCCTCTCTCAGGCTGTTGGCATTTCAGCTCTAAAGCCCTCTCGCTCTGATAGCCAAGGAAGACGTGCCACCTGTCTCTAGACACAGACAGATGTAACGTGGCGCTGGAGTGAACCTGAAACCAGGAAACGATAGAGAGAGACAGAAGGATGGAGAGGCGTCGATATGACTAGAGGCTTGTACAGACACAGAGCGAACCACCTCCCTGATAGAAATCATTTTAAATGAGCTCCCTATGGAGTCGTCAGAGCTTAGGTGCGGCAGAGGAGGAGGAGGAGAGGCGGATGCGAAAGAAGGGGATGAACAGCAACCAGGCAAAATTTGTGTTGAAGAGAAATGACATGTTTCTCATTTTGCTCTGCCCTGTCACGCGCAGTTTCATTCATATTTTAATTCAGAGCCGCAGTTCAGCTGGCAGGCAGTGAACGGAGCCCTGAGTAAAGCTTTTCAAGGATGGGCAGCATCACAGGAGAGTGTCAGAGCTGCAGGGTTACCAAGACTCCCTTCCAGAGCAGCTAAAGTGCTGCTGAGAAAAAAATCTTGCTGCAGTGGGTCAGGGGTCAAGGGTTGTTTTGAGGTTATTCACAACATCATTTGCGTTGAGCCGATCGCCTCTGAGAGTTTGAAACATGGCAGATGGCTACACAACAGCATAGACTGACTTTGATGAAAATTTGATGTGTTAAGAAGGAAGGAGGTACTGACTGTTTATCATAAAGATATACCAACAGCCAGAGGCTGAGAGGAAGGAGGGCAGATTACCCACTGGGCTCTGATCTAAATCCTCCCTCCCAAAGCTTTCCAGATGTTACAACAACCCCTGCATGGTTCACACTACCCTGAGAGAGCTGTGGCTGTGGGCTGTGGAAGACTTCATTCTAAGCTTTCACTGGCTGACTGGTGTAACACAGCCTAGTCTGCTGAAAATACATGAAATACTGTAAGTGAAGTGTTGAAATATAAATAATATATATACAAATATATAAATATAAGATTCATGTACAAAAAAGCCCCAAGAAGCAATAGTTTTCCCAACCATGAAAAGGTTATGTACAAGAGACTGTGAAATGCAAAGTATAGCAGTGAAGGCTGAAGTAGGAGATGGGCCCATATATACTGCGCATTTGCATTTAACTGATTTAAATTTCCGCACTGCATGAATTTTAACTTTTTAGATCCATGACCTGAAACTTTGCCCCAAGTTTAAACAGATGCTACAACAACAAAGTTTTGAGCTTCCAAGATTTGAAAGGTGGCTGTAAGAAGTTTGCAGAAGCCAAAAGTTTGTAGATCACAATTCCTGCAGTATTCTGTACGTAGAAAGTTAAACTACTGCGGGTATTGAGCCATGCTTTGGCAAAAACATGACAATTTGGAACACACGGAGCACACATAAAGAAGACAGCAAAGTGGATTATGCTGCAGGGGCATAATTTTGATCCTCTTTTTTTCCACCATGAAACTAATTATAACTGTTGGAACCCATTTTATCTGAAATGATCTGAACCTGTCCACGGGTCGCTGTGCGCAGTGAAGGATGAAAAAGAGGACAAGAATTTGATATTGAAAAGATTTGGGTTGGAGTATCAATTTAACTTTTTTCTTAATCAATTTTGCTTTTTTATTTTCTGAAATTTTACTCTTGCTTAACTCTTGCTCACCATTTCACATAAAAACATGAAAATGTAATGTCCTATTTGTGACAGTTTCAGTATATTACTCCACAGTTGTGTCAATATCGAATAATTTGTGATTCAGAGCTTGTGCTCATTTCATAAAATGTTTGCTTGTACTCTATTATTCCCCCGCTGTCTGCTGTCTCCATCTGAAATCTGATTCAAAACCCAAAAGCGTCAGATGCTGTGTTTTGTATTGTGCAAAAACATCAAATTCAGGATTCCATTCACGTATTCCACCGTTGTAGTAAAGAAGTAAATAAGTCAGAGAAAAAAAAATCAGCAGACTGCATTCTCAGAAGTGATCTGATGCTTTTGTTCAGTCAGGAAGGAAAGGAAACTGTCATCAGACTCTGAAGAGTTCTTGTGCTCTTTGCAGCCTCAGAGCATTTAGCTCCTGTTAAAGAGAGCAAAGACAACACAAGCTATCTTTGATATACATTTAATTATATCGTTAAATCCTTATCTGGAAATCATTCTATCTACTTAAGCAGTCAATACCCGAAATAAAATGATTTTTTTGGCTGCTTTGGCCAGGAAACACTACATTGATATATTATATCTAAATAGATTATAAATGTATATAAATAGATTGACGCTTTCTGACCTTCTGAGTTCACTCTCTCTTTTATGGCGGCCCAGACGGATCAACACAATGCATAAAGCCGCAACACGAATGTAACAGCAACAATACGAATGAAAATTAAACCACAAAAGAGGTTGTGTTGTTTTTTAATGTAAATTATATTTTCATATTTATGTAATTTTGTCATACTTTTTTCATTTTCATGTATATATTGTTGTAATCATGGTGTGACAGACTGTTGCTTACTTCCGTTGTAGCTTAACTTCCATTGTGGCTTAATTTGCATTCGTGTTGTTGTTTTCATATCGGTGTTGTGGCTTCTGCATTGTGTTGACCCATCTGGGCCACCCTACTTTTTTAGTCCTGCTCTGGGCTCCACCAACTCCTGAGGGAAATACCTGGCTCTTAAGCTATTAAATGCTCCTCTATGTTTAACTGCTTGTTCTCTGAAATAAGCTGACTGCTGCGTCTGAAAACGACACTGAAGGGAGCAACAAGAATGAAACAGAACACTAAAGTTGCAGCCTGAAAACCAAAACAATGAGCGGAGAAAGTAAAAAAAGCTGTAAAGCTTCACAGAGTTGAGCATAACTATAAAACAGGGTGATACTTCTGTATGTGTTTGTCTCTGCAAGTGACCCCTTTTCCCATATACAAGTATTCATGTGCCAGTAAAACATTTGATTTTAACTGCTTTAAAATGTTGGTAAACATCGAGACCATCTTCAAATAATCACTTTTTCTATGGACTCCATAAAACAAACAAAAGAAAAATATCAATCTCTTTGAGTCATAGACTGCTTTTTTCCCTTCGTTATTGTGTGGAGAACATCATTTTCAACAATAATTTGCAACAGAAGTAATGTGATTCCATGTTGAGTGTGAAATGTTATTATGGTGCTTTGAGCAAGTGAGCCTGCCACAGACAGATTAGCATGGTGCGGAAAGTAGGGCCCCACAGCCAGGGAATAAAAGTGCTATCAGACCGAGCTTTCCTTCACTATCCATATCCCTCCATTAACCTCTTTGTCCGTCTCATTTCTTTATCTCTGTAATCTGTTGATTTCATCCCCTGTATTTATCTGTATCTGTTAAACATCTCACCTCCACTCGCAGTTCTCTGTCCTCCTCTTTATTGCACGCTGGTCTTCCTTTTCTCCCCTCTCCATATTTAAATCTCACCCCTCCAGTGTGTCTGTGTTGTTTGTTTGCTAAATTCTGTATCACAGCTCTGTATTTTATGTTATTTTTCAAAAGGAGTTGGAGACCGAGAGAGCTTGTTTGTAAAGGTTTAAGAAATCACTGAAGAGACACTTTTACAATGCTGATGTGAAAAATGTGAGAGCCTTGTAAGGGTTGTGTTAAATTGTGCTATCATGGCTCAGATCAGAGACAGTCTCACATCAGATTCAAGCTTATTTGTATTTTCATCCTCTTTTCAAACGTTATTGTGAGATCAATATTTAATTTTTGGTAAATCCATTGGAGATGAATCAGACCTGACAGGCGGTGTGACATAAGGCTCCACTAAATCACACCAGAATTGTAAATGTATCGGGAGAATCGTTCATTGGGAGAAGATGGAAATGTGTGTGTGGAGTTCTGTGAGCAAAGACGAGCATGACAGCAAATTCTCAAAGTGCATTAGCTACTGTGCGACAAGTCTGCTCTTTCTTTCTCACCTCCAGCCCTCATCTTTCCATTTCACCATCACCATGCTTCTCCACACACATCATCTACTATTTGCCAGTCAAAACATCAGCATCTTTTTTTCTTTATGAATTCTTTATGATTCTTTTTTCCTCTATGTAGCTGGGTTAAAAAGAAATACTCCATATTGCAGTAGAAATAATGTTTAGACAAAGGCAACGTTATAAGTAAAGTCAGAGATATCTCATAAAATATTAGTTCATGAAAGAGAAAAAAAAGGAGAGGATGCAGTTGCATAATTATAAATATTCTATTTTATTGTGAAGAATTCATTGTTGTAAAGGGAAGGAGTATTGGAGAATAAGAGCTTTACAAGTCATTCATTGGTCGAGGCAGGTGGATCACAAGGATGCGCAGGTAGAGAGAAATAGAAGTGGGAGTATGGCCCAATCCCAATGTCCACCCTCACAGAC